AGTCCAGTGCCCGTCGTTCCTGCGCCCGATATTACTGCAGAGAACCCCTGGTTAGATTTGAGGGGTGTGACAGGAGGGATGTGGGGCAGCGAGCAGCGATACTGGAGACTCTCCACACTGGTGCCCATTGTGCAGCCATCCCAAATGACCCTGTTCTATTTCTGTCTGCCCTTCTCACTGTATCTCCTGCTCTCACCCTTTCCCTCTGCTCACTTTATTTGTTTCTTGCTCTTTTCCTTTCTCCAATTATTTAATTGGTTTTATTTGGTGATTTTGGTCTGAGTGCTTTTTTTTTTTAAACAATCTCCTCTTCTATTTCTTGAAGTTAGAGAGAGAGAAATCTGGGTCACGCCATCCAAAAAACTCACAGGGTAGAAACGCTGAATGGGAATACTGATGGGGCAAAACAGAGAAAGAGAGACAGGAATGGCAGCGCAGGAGACACACAGACACTCGCTGCTTTGTTCCCACATTCTGTTAAGTTTTTTAAAGTGCACACAAGAAGCAAAATAAAAGGCAGGAAATAAAAGAGAAGAGGAGAAAGAATGAGGCTGAAGAATGAGGCTCAAGAATGAGGCTGAAATGTGAACCAGGGATATGACGGGTCGACTTAAACACTGCAGAACACAAAAACACCACTATACAGTTGTTTTTCATACAGGGCAAAACAAAGATAGAGTGTGTGTATATATATATATGTATATATATATATATATATACACAATTAAAGAAACATTATGCAACTTTTTAAACTTAAAATAGCAGCAGCTTTAAAATTGATTACTGCGTTTAGACATGCAATGAATCCCTGAAACTTTATGGAAGGGCTGACAGTTGCTCTGGATATTTTCTGAAAGTTTTCCTGCCATTCCATTAGTAAAAAGTCCACGGTGTGTTTAAGTCATTTAGAACAAACAGCGGATGCAAAAATGAAAGAAACAGAAACAAAAAGTTCACTAATACATGCAGAAGACGTCGCATAGATGCCGACAACGACGTCAACTTGAAAGACTCCAGGATATTTTTGCAGACTAAACAATTAAGATGATAAATGAAGGAAACAACTTTAAAAGCCAGACTCAAAGCAAGCGATGCTGTGATTACGTGATCTTAAACCCACACCGTGACTCAGCATCTACTACAGATGCAAAAAACGAAAACATATCTCAGGATGAAGAAGTGGTGCCACATGAGTAGAGGGCATTGACGAGAGATGATGATGCCAAGAGAGTTTGTGGCGATGTGATGTAAACTGTAAAATACATGTGATCTGCGCAGCGGAGTTAATATGTTACATCCTCCCTCTGCCTGCTGCACCATCAGACCAGAACCTCAGGAACTTCTGTTCTCACGGACGGCCCCTCCGGAAAGTTTCAGGAAATTGTCTGGACTTAAGTGCAGGTCTGAAAGCATCTGAGCTGTGTCTGACAGCTGGTAGCTTAGGCCGGATTTAGCAAAGAAAGTTTGTGGGAACAGTAAATCGAGGAAAAGTTAGAAGTGCTGAGGGACAATGGAGAGTTCACTCATCACGCCATCAAGTCATTTGGTCCATTGTTGATATATAATATTGATTAGCGCAGCTTTAATGACACAAGACGTTTGTTAAGATGTGCGTCGGCCCCCGAGCACGTCTGTGTTCACACGGCCCAACACACACTGAATCAGCAAAAGTGAGTCATGGCATTTAATTAGTGATGCAATGGCATGAGAGCCAACACACACACACACACACACACACACACACGCATCCATACACATAATCCCTCTCTCATTAGGTGTATTGTGGGGATGCTGATGTAATGCAAGTTAATCTGTTGGCCTCTGGTTGGCTCGGTGGCCCAGCGGGAGCTCTTTGTGTGGGACATTACCCTGGCCCCGCCCCCTGGAGACAGGTTCATTAAGACTGATGCTGATACCCAAGTACCCTGGCCTTTTGTGTGTGTGTGTGTGTGTGTGTGAGCGTGTGTGTGTGGGAGCGAGAGAGCGCGTGTGAAACTGTGTTTCAGTCAGTTATACCAGAGACAATGCCATGAAGAGGGCGGCCATAAAGGCACTGCTTTCTCAGCATGTGCCTGAGAGCACGTAGGCCAGAAATTGTGATTGGCGTGTGTGTGTGTGTGTGTGTGTGTGTGTGTGTAGTTCATAAAGTATCCATGAGACATATCTGTGTGTGAACTTTGTGTTCCTTGACCAATGTTACTGTGGTGCGTTCATGTTTCACTGTTTTTGGACAAACAGTACGGAACATAAAGTTGTCTTTTTATGATGTCGTGTAACACTGATATCCTGCCCATATAAGTGTGTGTGTGTGTTTATATCCATTTTATGTGTCATATATTGTCTCTGAACTCTCGGTTTAATAAAGCCAGAGGCAGTAGAGAAAGATTTACCCGGTTTGAGCAGTAAACACGAACTGACAGTTTTATAAACATGTTTTATACCAAACCTTTCCAACGAATATTCACTCAAACTGCTGAGTAATGTTCAGTATTTGGTCTCTTTGGAAACTTTGAGATGTTTTAACTCAGAGGTCAGGGTGTGTCCACAGACGATGGCTGCACAGAGTGAGTTTGAAAGCAGCGGCCCACTTGTTGGGGTTCAGGTGTAAGAGTTAGAGCAAAGTCTCTTAAATCATAGTATATGTTCAAACTTTCCGACATTTACAGTCAGTTCACAGTGTCAATATATAATATTACAGAAAAAGTACTGTGTTGAAAGTATCTGTTCGAGCATTATAAGTATTAAAACAGTTTATTACCAGACTCTTTACAGCAAATCATATGAACTGGTTGTTCTTATCTGTAAACATGTGAGCGGCACTGCAGCTTATCAAAGTGAATTTATTTTAGAATTAATAACATTGGCAAATTTATATAAGTGTGATTCAACAGCCAGGCAATTTAAAGTAATTTACTTGAAAGTAACATAAGACAATGTAGAAAAAGAAGAGTTTTGACAATTAGAATAAATTTTCGATAAAATCTTAATGTGCAGCTGTGAAATAACTGAAGGTTAATAGAAAGTATGAAGCAGCAGAAAATGGAAACGCTCTCTATAGGTTACAGCTCAAAATCTCCAGCTATATATGTATGTATGTGTAAAGAGTGTACGTATATATCATCATATTTCTCTGTGCCAATTACGAACTAGATTTGCTGCAATAACAAAGCGTCAAATGTCAAATTGAAGAGAAAATTAGTGAGTTTGTCGTCCTGGTCGCCTTCAGCCCTGCAGGCTGCGTCTCGCCTGCCCACCAAATTAAAAATAGTAAAGGGTTTATTTGTGGGTCGCTGTGGTTTTAGTTTGTGACATGAAGTGTGTGTGTGTGTGTGTGTGTGTATGTGTGTGTGTTGTAGCAGCAGCAGCAGCAGTGCACTTAGCATAGGCTTTAAATAGCTAAGTCAAATAAAGTGAGAGGAGGACGGGGATCAGAGGCTGAGAGGGACTCTGTGAGGGAGGCATTCCCGAACGGAAGCCGGCCTTTGGATTTCCAAACACCATTCGGAGCGAGCAATGCCAGGAATGTGATGTCGTCGAGCGGCGGCGGCGGCGGCTGTGAAAACCGCCGGGCCACCAGGTGCCTGACAGGAAGTGCAGCAGGAAGCAGGGGTGCAGCTAGGGGACAAAATGGCGGCAGGTGACTCAGCAAAGAGGAGACGGAGGGTTTAGAGGCTTCATTGAATATTGGCGAGGGACCGAGGAGGAGGACGACTCCCCCTCTGAAACAAACTGCTCCTCAGCACTTTGCCTCCTTTTTTACACACTGTGTTAAATTTCTATTCTTTCTCATCCTTTTTACCTTCTGACGGCCTCTTTGTGTGCAGGCTGTGGGAAAGTTTGCCGTAATGGTGAGGTCATCCACCACCGACTGGCCCCCCCACCCCTCCAACACCTCCATCACCCCCAACCCCCTCCAACACACAAACACACACCATTACTACACTCCCCCCACTCTCCATGCCGTCCCTCTCTCTCCAAGCAGGACAGTGATGTGTCCCCTCGTCTCTGTCCCACTTCCAGCTCCTCGGCTCCCTCCACAGAGACCAGGGGCCTGAATAGAGCCTCATTCACGGCTGGTATCTGATGATCTGAAATCAAGATGCAGAGCAGACGGACGCAGGCGGAGCATCACCGTATATCTGAGGACGCTCTCCCTCAGTTTCTGTCACTCACACAAGCTTCGCGTGACGTTGCTCAGTTTGTCTCAGCGGCACGTGTACATCAGGTTCCTCTCATTGTTTTTTCTTGTTATAAAACCGCTGCAATGATAAAAGCAACGAAGATGAAGAATTCCTTTTGTGGAATATCCTGAAGTTGTTTAGAATCTTGTTGCTGCAGAACTCATCCTTTCTCTAAGTTTGTATGCAGGGGCATGTTTGATGGCTGATTACTGCCATCTATTGGCAAAACTGCAAACTGCACTTTCTATTTTTAAAGGATCAATTCAACAAACTTCTTTACGCTGTGAGAGACGCCGTATTTCAACATTTTTGTAGATTTCTCCAGAAATAATGCAGCGATCCTAACGGGAAAAATGTATATGTTACGTGTAGAGCTACTGAACTGATTTCCTCCAATAATGGAGGAGTGATGGGTCCTGGGAAGAACAAATAATTTGGTGCGGATGCATCAGATCTTGTAATTTTCTTCAAAAAGTCCTTTAACATCAGACCACTTCCTTTTTATATTTCTTCTGTAGGATTTAATTGTGTGAGGGATAGTTTGGCTCTACTGAGTGATATTCTGGGGTTTGTTCTCGTACTGAACTGCTGTATATCACAGTTAATCAATAAGTTGATAATATGTCATTAAGGTGTTGCTCTCACTGCAGCGCAAAAGCTCTGGAATCTCCTTGTCTTTCCCAGTGGACGTCTTCGTCTTTTACGTGCGTGGCTCCTCCTCTTCTTCACCCTGAGATCCGTGCATGACCGAACTGATCCTTGAATGAGGCTCCAGAATCGGATACTGTGGAAATGTGCTTTTACAAATAAGCCACAAAATGAAATGTAAAATATATTCTGATATTTATCATAGTGACTCAATTACTGATAAAATGTCACAACATGAGGGCAGGTTATGTAGATCACTTACTGTTATACAAAATAATACACCAAATTTTACCCATAATAAAATGTCATGTATAAACTGTGAGGTACGCTGCCTTTAATCCTATTTGTACAGTTTGTGTTAATATACAAAAATATATGACAAGTATATATTCAGGAAAAACAACGATTTTTACAAGTCAGTAAAAAGGGATAAATACTTTGAGCAAAATATAAACACAAAACAATAAATCCATCTCAAGCACAAAGCAACCACGTCGTCGGCTTTGTCACCTGACGTTCGGTAACTCTGGGTTTTTAACATTGAAATCTGATTTATACATTTTTACAACAAAGGAAAAAATCATAACCTCACTTTTAAGTTCATATATTTATGTGCAGAATATCTGATATTCTTCAGGTTTAATCACAATGAAATTAGTTATTTGTCGACGGTGACTTCCAGCGGGAAGCTGACACGGTGTGATGTGGTGAATTTAAAGTACAAACAGGTCAGACAAAGTTTTAAAATGTGATAAAATCTGGTTTTCATAGTAGATCCTTTAACTTTATACATGGAGGTTTTGGCTTCCTCTAGTGGCAGTGCTGGTTGTTCTGCAGGTTGGACCGACAGGACCAGTGGCCGGAGTGTGTGGCTTCATGTTTTTTTTTTTTTTTTTTGCCTCTTGGGAGAAAACGTTTTTGCAGAAGTCTTATTTTTATTTCACTTCACTCATATTGAAGTAGTGCGTGGGCTTGAAGCTGAGCCTCAGTCTGTAGTTTGAGTCTCTCTCTCTCTCTCTCGTTACTTCTTATGCGACCCAATCATGACCTTCGAGACGAAGTTTACGATGGCGCTCGCCGGCTGCTCCGGATCGTGCTCGGCAAACAGATGGCACATGTTTTCGGTCTCGCTCTGAGATTTCCGGGCGACGAATCCAAAGATCCTGGCAGAGAGAAAGAGGGCAGATGTAGACGTTTATAGAAAAATAAATGACATTTACAGGACTTGAAATGCAGCTGTAAGAAGTTTATAGTTTCCTCTTTGTCTCATTTAATCATACAGTTTTTGACTCTCTGCAAACAGTCCCACTATTCTGGGACTGATGCTTCTCATGTCTGCTGTTGTTCTTATATCAGTCCCTAAGACCTGGAAGCAGACTCCAGAACTCTTTGTATGTTTGTGAAAAAAGATGCAAATCCACAATAAAACCTTTTTTCTTGGAAAACAAAGGGAGGGGGGGATAAAGAGGAGTGTAGACAATAAAAACTTACTTCGCAGTGGAGCTGCTGCCTCTTGTCCATCTGTTTAATCAGAACCACAGGATGAAGTTATTAAACATGTTCACATTTAGATCTGAAAAGTGAAGTTACAGCAGCACCACAACAGATTCACCTACGTTTCAAACAAGGGTTTAATATTCATACACCCTCCTACAAGGTTATATTTTAACCCCTCTTCATTTGTTCGTTCAGAAACTACTGAACAGATTTTCTAGTAAACTTGACGGGAGGATGAGTCAAGAGATAACTCTTGTTTTGAAATAACAAACCAGACATTTAGGGAAATTTGTGCTCAGATAGTAGAGTTTTTACTGCTTCCAAATACAAGAAAAACCCCAGTTCAGGATTAAGTTTAAGTTACGACGAGTCTCCAGAGAATAGATGTACTGTAAGAGCATGTGTGTTTTCTTATAGGCACATTAAGGGACTGATATCTATGAGTGCAACTTGCTGCAGATACAAATTATAATCAGATTCTAATTCAGTGTTGGGTTGATTCAAAAATGAAATTCTTTCCTGTGTGAAAATAAACATTCATCAATAGCATCAGCCAATCAGCAGGGTCTGTGTTCTGTACGTGTCTGGACCTTTTAGACGAACAACAGAATAAAATGATTGTACAGCCGACGTGGAGAAACTCTCTCCTCTGCTTCCTGTCACAGTTCACTCACTTCCTGCCTTGTGGGTCCAGAGAACAGAATATAACTGTGTTGACGGCGTAGTGTCTCCTGAAGAACAACCTGCAGGATCAAGCACAGACAGAAATGAGCTCATCCGTGTGTGTGTGTGTGTGTGTGGTTTATAAAGTAGCCATGAGACACATGAGACGTGTGTGAACGTGGTTGAAGTGTATCCAGACGTATAACTGGTGTGTTCATGTGTTTTCTGTGTCAGACGGTGTGTGTCTGCGTTGTGCGTTTGCTCACTTCCTCTGGTTGTCGGTGAGCGTGATGCCCTGTGCCGACACTTTGAAGTGGACCACGGTCGAGGCCGGCGGCGGGTCCATGGAGAGTGTCACTGTGGTCGCCTTCTGCACGGCCTGGTGTCCCGTCAACGACTCCAGCGCCACAGAGCCCAGGTACCACACATTGCACGCTGCGCAACAACACAAAAACACACACACACACAGATAAACACATTCATTCAGTTAACATTTACATCCAATGATTGTATTCATGGAAACACACACAACTGTGTATTTTGTAGTGGATACAAGCATCACTGATGTGTGTGTTGATACTAAATGAACATCCTCCAAACACACACACACACACACACACACACACAAGTCAAACAAACACACACACTGATGTGTGTACATAAGTGACATCTGTGTTGTACCTGCTCCCTGTTTGAGGAGTTCAGCTGCTGAGTTTGTCGCTGTTTGTGCAGATGAGTCATTCAGCTCCTCCACTGGGTCTGCAAACACACACACACACACACACACACACACACACACACACACACACACACACACACACACACACACACACATGAGTTCACTGGCCAAAAACACACAACAACTACTTCTGCAGTCCTCGCTCACTATGTGCAAACACTCATGCAGCAGTTATTTTTAAAAATAATAGAAGAAATGAAGATTTAAATGTGATTACAGGTTTTGAAAACATTTTGTGTTGTAGTGTTGTAAAAACCTGATTTGCACATTTAACCCACAGGAAGGGTTTGAAAGTCTTCCTCGAATATGAATATATGTTAAACATGTTTTCGTGTGTTTCCTTGTTGTCGCTAAAATGTCGTCACCACCACAGAGAGACGTGTTTACCTTTGTCAGGCAGGATGAGTTTGCAGGGCAGAGCCAGAGGAGTGATGGAGTGTTGACACACCAGAGCAGTGAGACTTCCTGTCACAGAAATAACATCAGACCCAGTCAGTGTTAGTGATGGGGACAGCTGCACCTCACTGAACTGACCACTAGAGGAGGCCACTGTGTCTGTGTGGTGAACAGTTCTCAGACTTTGAGGAAGTAAAGTTATTAGCTGTGATTGTTGTGGTTTATTTTATAGCAGGAAACAACAGGAACCTATTATCTGATTTTACACCACTATATAAAAGAAGACATGCAGCAGATATTACCCCCCCGATGTCTTTTCTTAATCAACTTGAAACTTTTAAAAAACAAAATGAACCAACATGAAATGAAACACTGGATTGGTTCACTGCATCCTCACCAAAGTAAGGCTCGTTGGGGCAGCCTTTAAGACGAACTCCTTTCTGTGTGCACTCGATCAGGAAATGTCTCACCAGCTCATTGGACAAGTCTCCTGCTGCAGAAACACAAACAAGAAATATCAGTATATATGTAATTATACATATTTACTTTAGGAGTAAACAAACTGTCGGTCTGCATATTAAAAAATAAATTTCAGAGAAGGTGAAAGTCATCAACTACCATAAGATCTCATAACGTTAACTTCTGAAAGATTCAATTTAGGAATCAAACTGCTCACTGAAGTTTTCAAATATCAAACGTCAAAATACTATAGTACTTATGTGTCTAATAGTCACCATAAGTCACCATAAGTATGTACAAAAACCAGTAAAGATGGCAGTGAAATAAAACCACCCCCTACATCTTGAATGTACCTTTCTTACTCTGTTGTACCACAGAAGGAGGGGGCGTCGCCACCTTCATAGCCAAACCGTACGCTCCGCGGAACGAGTGACTGTCTCTGACGACGAACGAGCCTGGCTCTTTGTCCTTCAGCACTGTGATGGCTGCTCAGTGGAGGAAACACAGACAAGCTAAAGTTAGATTCATCACGTTCAGACTGAATATGGAGGTAAACATCGAAACAAGAACACGTTATCGTGTCGGGCTAAACTGGTCCAAAATCAATATTTACCTTGGTCTCTGGAAATGTCGGGCTTGTACCAGAACTTGGAAGTGTCTTGAACAAACTTCACGGTGTCCTGCTTACTGCCAAAGTCTGCAAGACACAGATTTAAGCTTGACGTCAGGTTTAAGTCTAGATTCAGCCCAAATATGACAAACAAAAAGTGAGTGAGAGATAGTTTAAAAGTTCAGTCCACTCAAATCACAAAGATCTTTTGCCCAGCTATGGTGGTGACATGTTTACCTCCACCAAGAAGAGAGAGAAGCCTAATCCCTTTCTTTTTTACCTGCTCCGGGTGAAGGGGCCCCGCTGAGTCCTCTGAGGGGGTCCGGGGTCATGGAAGATGAGAATGGGATGCTGATGCTGCTTCCACTATGAGGGCTGGAAAAACCGCTTAGAGAAGGGGAGCGGGAGCCAAGATCCCCCCCCTCACCCCATCTCCTCTTCTCAGGCAGCAGTGGAGCGAGGCTCCCGTCTCCCCCGAGGCTCAGACCCCCGAGTCCCTCCATGGCCTCCAGGAGGCTGTGATCCAGGTTGCCGTTCCCCAACAACAGAGAGGACAAGTCTGGGCTGTCCGTCTCTCTGCGAACGCTCACACCTCCAACCGGGCTTTTCAGAGGCCCCCTGGGAGAACTGTGGGCGTTGGGAGTGCTGAGGGAGAGAGGGGGTGAGGGCTGGGGTGGAGTCCGGTCATGCCACACTGGAGGAGGGGTGGCACTGTGGAAAGAGAGGAAAGAGAAAGAGGAAATGAGAATTTATACGATTTTTATAAGTCAGTATTTAGCGTCATCATGTGAACTTGTGTGTAGGTGTGTGTCTGTGTGTAGGTGTGTGTGTGTGTACCTGTCTGTGTGTGGGTGTACCTGTCTGTGTGTGGGTGTGTGTGTGTACCTGTCTGTGTGCGGGAGGGGGCTTCCTGACGACACCGAGMACATGGAGCCGAAGATCCTCTGACAGGGAGCAGGAGTGACCGACACGTCTGATCTGAACAGCTCTCCCTCTGTGGAGCCGCCGCTGTGGTTCATGCTGTCCAGGAAATTCCTGGCATCTGAAAAAGAAAAGAAACACAAAGTCAGTCGTCTTTTACTTCACAGAGTCATCACGTAAAAAAAACTAACCAGATGTTCTGAAAGAAAGTCCCAGAATGAGACACGGTTCCATAAAGTATAATAACCACCTACTTACAGTGTTATTAACCTACACACACCTCTGTGTCCATATCGATACGCAACAAAAGAGCAGAACACAAAAAGAGTTTTATCACCTTCTCAACCCTCTGACTTCATTTTCATACTTGGATTTGTAAAATTCCGACGTCCCCACTTTCTTTACAAGTGTTTGAACTTCAATCTTCACTGTGCGTTGTGTGGTTTTTAAAGAAATCTAATTTTACCATCCTCGCTTTCCCACCTCGTCATCATTCAGTCTGAATCATCCACATCTAATTATACTCTGTAGTAATATGTCATCTCAAAGGCCTTCACTGTAATTTAGTTACTCAATGAAAAGCATCATATCCAGGTTATTCTTCTCAAATCATTGCATTTAGTGATTTGTTTTTTCTCTATGTGGTTTGAATTCTAGATTCTGAGTTAGAAATAGAAATTGCTACAGCCAGGAGAAACTAAAAGTCTGAAAGTAAAAAAATATTCATATTAACATCTTAAGCTCACATTTGTGTGTAGATTCAGAATAACAACGCAGTGTGTTAATTATTAGTTACTGTCCGTAGAGGGAGGTACAGATTGGAACGTGCAACAGAAGCCAAAAACAAGCTGAATAGTTTGACGTTTCAGGGCGGCTGTTCGTTTAGAGTTAAACGACTAACCTGTCACAAACCAGAAACTCTTTACATTTCTCGTGGGGTGTAAATTAAATAAAAGCAAAACAACATCTGCTTTAGTCCTTAAGTTCATTCATGTCTAATAAAACAAACTGGAAGTTAATTTTCAGCGAGGCAGTGATTGACAGCGTACATCACTAAGCCAAGGTGTGTGTGTGTGCGTGTGTGTGTGTGCGTGTGCGTGCGTGCGTGAGATGTTTGACTCCATTTCAAACATCCCAACTTGTCACTCTGACATTCTGACAACACAGTGTGTCATTCAGTAAACACCAGGACAGGCCTCCTCAGGCCTGTGAGGCCCGATGAGTCATCGTGAAGCGAGTGGGTCATTATAAAGAGCTCCTTGTTTCGGGTGCCCCCCCCCACCCCTCTCTCTCCTTCCCTCCATTCAAGTGCTCGGAGGTGGAGGAGTTTGTTCTCAACCGACAGCTTTGTCTCTCGGATCATATTGGACGAGCTAAAGCATCTCAAGTGGATTAGATAATCACACGTGTGCTGCTTATGAATGAGAGAATGTGTTATTGTATGCATGATGCAAACGCTACACGCACTTTTGAAGTTGCATGACGTACTTGTACTTCACTTGTAGTATTGTTTCCGTTGTATGCAACATTATACTTCTGCTCCGCTACATTTCAGGCTGTGGTATCAAGGTTTCACCGACACACATGAGTCATCAAACATCTAATTAAAACCAAACTTACCACTTGAACAAACCAACATCTTAAAAAATGTAATTGACGTGTATTTTGATTTTCGGCAAACATGAGGAGATGGAGTTTATGACCTGTACTACTGGCAGCCACCAGTATAAAGTTATTTTCCCACACAAAGGTCTATGAAGCCTGTACATTATTTATGGTGTATCAGATTATCTGTGGACTGAGAGACAGCTGCTCTGACTGAAAGTTATGTTTCATATGTTCTGTGTCTGTCTGACTTTTATCTCTGCAGTGTGGAATGTGACTGTAGAACAACTTTCAGGATCTCTTCAGTAGAACAGTTATAAATATACGGTTTAGCTGTTTCCGTAGTTTTAATCATCATCAAGTATGACGTCAGTAAGCAAAGATTTATATTATCGATATGTGTGGAGCATAAATCTGACCTGAGAACTCAGGTCAGACAAACAGACGAAATGCTTCCTCATATTGGTTTGGTGGTGTAAGTCACCGTGTTACCTCCCACTGTGTGTCAACCCTCTGAGGTTAAAGGTCAAGGGCCCACAGCAGGTTATGTTGTAGTTAGACGTAAGCCTCCCTGACACAGACATGTAAACTCAGAGAGCAGAGATGATCCGAGGTTGTGTAGTTGTTGTTGTTGTTGTTGTTGTTGTTGGGAGACAAACACCAGCTGAGTGAACTGAGGTCAGCAGGATTCCTCAGACATTCCCACAGTCGCTGTCAGTTTCCCAGAAAGCAGCCGAGCTTCATCTCTCCCTGTCGGTTCCCACGGCTGCTTCCCGGTTCTGTCACATCTGCTGCTCCGCGGCTCATCACAGCTCATCCAGTTAATTACAGAACAGCTCAAACTGTGGCAACGCCGGCTGACCCCACCCTGACCCACGACCCCCCCGACCTCAGAGACCAGACTCCGCTCTGTAAAGGCTGCCGTGCTCACACACCTTTCACCTCCCGCTGCCACGCTGCACGGTTTCCATAGATACACGTTCAGGCCAACAAACTTTAATGAAGAATCCTGGTGAGACGGACTGAGCGGGAACATTATCCTGCATTTTCTTAATGCCATTGAACATCAGCACTAGTTTGGTTACAAAGGTTCATTTCGTATTGTACAAAACGTATGGATACGGACAAAACTGTCAAAATGGAGCAGTACCACCAGAAATCACGGGGGGGCAGAGTAACCAATAGTGCGAGCAAGACGACTGTAGGCCACGAGGAAGAAGTGTCTGAACCAAACCTGCGTCCCCTGCAGGAGAACTCAAGGACATTTCAAATCTAAATAGCTGCAGTGAAAAACGTCTGTGTTGTAAATTAACCTATTTATCAAATTTTGATTAAATTTATTCTTTAATCCCCCCCAGCTTTAGTTTTTGTCAACAGTCTGTTGTCCTCCCTCCTCCTCACTCATTCAGCTCTGAGTGAACACAAAGCCTCTTTAGTTTGGGTCGAACCGTGTAAAACCAACTCCAGATGGCACAGACCCATGTGGGCACGACTGCCAACCTCCACCAGCCAATGACGCCCCCACCCATACACACACACACATACACACTTTCCTGATCACAGAGAGCGATGGTTTTACGGCTCGGAGTGAAAACGTGTGCATACCTTCACGCGTGGGACGCAGATCAATCCCATGAATCAATAAAACCGCCGAGAGGTCAATCTGGAGCTGATATCTGACATCATATTTCCTACCTCGGACTTCAGAGCCCGCTGGCATGTGCCTGAAGAGGATGGTGTGAAAGGCAGGGAGGAGAGAAACAGGGAGGAGATGCAGGACGATGGAAAACATGCAGCCGTCACATGTTCAGAGCAGCTACAGAGCTCCAGTGTTTTATCTGACAAAGAAACACTTCTCTATGATTCCTCCGCTCACTGAGCAGCATCACAGTGGACACACACTTAAACACACACACAATAATACATGTGGACGACATGAGTGGGTTTACAGACTCCCTGCTGATTACAGGAATGTGAGAACCACACACACACAGACACACACACACACACACACACTGACAGGCCCTGGTGTGTTACAGCTGTTCAAAGCGCTAATACAGACAAAGAGAAGAGAAGACGAGGCCAAAGATCAAGAACATGATGAGGAGGAAAACACCTGCTGCTACACTGAGACGCACCGAGGATCCATATCATCCAATAAAGTTCGTTCAGGGTAAAATAAAGTTTGTATTTATGCTTTTAAAATGAAAAATCAAAACAGAGGAAAATGTCAAAATACAAATATCTCAGGATGAAGGAGAGGAGCCGTACACTTAGAAGAAGAAGACGATAACCTGGAAAGACGAGGAGCTTCTTCACACGAGGAAGATTAAATCTCTGGACATCAAGCTCTTCTCCGGACTCACATTTCTTACTTTTCACCCTCACTGTTCCTCGTTTGTAGTATTTTCCAGGAGACAATCTACTTTCTCTTTACACCACATGACCAGTGTACGTGAATGGTCATGTCATTTTCAGGGTTTGTTAGCATGGAGCTGGTTTTAGTTTTAAAACATATCAGCTCCTTGGTGAAAGTATAATAGAAGTGAAGCCCTGAGCAGCGATTTCTGTCACCATGGTTTGATCTCTTTCACATTACAGGTATTTATTTGAGCTTGCTTTAAGAATGATTGAGTGTTTCCTGCGGCTCTCTCCTTGGTGTCACTTGGCTCTGCATCAGAATGTGATCACTTGCGAAGCTTCACACTCCCAACTTCGATAAAAACTCAAATCAATCAACCTCGGCCCCGCTGCGTCTGCCCTCCTCTGTTCAGGAGCTGTGAGCATTTCTCCGTGGAGAGCACAAACTAATCTGTAAATCAGATTCCTCTGTTCTCTGCTGGCGTTCGGGTCGACAGCTTTATCGACCGACTGAAGTGGCGGCAGAGAGATGGAGTTACGAGCCAGTTTAAGAGAGAGAGGGAAGGAGGGGGGGGGGGTTATCGGCATCTGAAGTATTGTGATAATGAGTTGATGGCTTTATAAAGAGAGTTAGAGCCGCTGCTGCAGTTTTAGTTGCAGTGGCGCTTTGACTCAGGATGCTACTATTAGCATTTGACACAACGGAGGCTTTGGAAAGACTTGTTAAAACTCTTTTGGTTGGAAATGTGTGATTTTGTTTTAAATTTCCCATGACCTTTGGGATTTTTGGGTTGGATTTGCAATTTCCTTTTTATTTGGACCATAAACTATAATAAAATATGGTCGACGCCTTTCCAATTCCTCCCACTATCCAGAAAAGAAGCCAAATTAACCGCCATTCGCGGCTCTCGTTGGTTACAGAACATCCACAGTTTGAGTTAATTCCTTCAGGTTTTTTTTTTTCCGTCAGTGTCATGCTTGCCTGCTAGCTATAATTTTAACTAACAGGTGTCTTAACCCCCCCCCTCACACAAACGGCTTTAAAAGATTCACTCGGGGATTCAGAAGGATTTGTATTTCTTAAATCACTGCAATCGAACGTCATCCTCACAAACAGAAGCTGCTCTGTTCAGCTTTCCTCCAGCTCAAGGTGAATATCCATGATTTCATGCATTAAGGAAATGTGAACTGTAAAAACGTCCCAGATATTTGATCGTGTTTTGAAGCTGAAGTCAGAATTCCTCAGACGTCTCCCATCTGGAGAACATATCATTGTTTTTTCTCCTGCTGGTCGACCAACACATGACAACAGCTATAACACTGTGCTGCCGGCCGCTCTGTACAACTCGTGTGTAAAAGATGAGGCACTCAGCTGCTCTTGAATCATACTGGTGTTTTACAAAGTTTCAGACGGAGGTTTTGTTTCCATTGCTGCTCTTTGACTTTTATGAGTCAGTTTCTGAACAGGCTGTGGGGGGTGGGGGGGTGTTACACAAAGGTTCTGGCTCTTTCCTGGTATCTAGGTCAGAACTGGCTGAATGTGGTTTATAACATTTTTAGACATCTAGGATACATGGAAACATTTCAACAGTATTCCAGTGATTGTTTTTCAGGTTGTGTTTGGGACGTAATTCAAAAAGAAAGATTGGAGTTAAAATGTTGAAACATCTGTTACAAGCACTGACAACGACACTCATCGTGATTTAGTTTGAGAACTGTGTTTGCATCATAGATGGACGACATGACAGTTCCCTAAAAGTGAAGCCAAAGCATCTTGTTAGCCCCCTGGTGGTTGGCTGCTGTATAGGTCATAAACCCTGCCTCCTCCATGTTAGCAGATGGGTTATGGATCAAACCTAAAAGTCAAAGTATATAGTTAATGTGACGGCATTCGTATGCAGAATTTTATTTCTGAATACTGGGAGGAAGTAGAGATACTTCAATCTTTATAGTCTATGCCTAATGTCGAAAATTAAAATAATCTCTTGACCTGTGCTGCAGCCAGCCACCAGGGGGCGAGCTGCCTTAAGAGAAGAGATATATAAAGACACTGGTAGCAACGAACACGAGGATGTTGTTATGTTTAAATAAACATACTGAAGTCATATAGAGTTGAACCTCCTGTACTTTCATCTGTTTTGTGATGTTGAACCAGACTCTGTTACATCATCCACATGTAGAACAATCGATGTTCTGGTACGCGTCACACGGACGGAGCTTGTGACAACACAGACCACTTGTTGATTAATTGTCTGGGGAACAAAACGCTTATTTTCCCTTTTCGGTCCGTGCATCCTCAGCTGGCCCTCTGTCCACGGTGCTGTCAACATTTTCCAGCCTTGTGGTTTAAATGTTCTGTCTCTTTATCTGCCCTTTTTTCCTGCAGTCCTGCAAAAGTCACATGTTTCTCACACGGCAAAGTGAGTCGATTAATGTGGCCCCACTTTTCTCTTTTGATGTCAGAGAAAAAACATCTCACTGCAGTTTTACTTGTCTTATCTTAAGGCTAATTTATGCTCAACATTAGACACGTACTGAAAAACGGATGGAGCCCTTTGTCGGTACTTTGCATTCATTTGGTCTGTATTTATGCACGTCTTCTAAGATAAGAAGAAAAACAGATGAGTAGTACCACCGGAAACCGTGGGGGAAAGTAGCCAACTTTGTCAGGGACTTTGCAAATTGTTAAGAAACCAATTGAACCTCTTTCTTGAGAAGAACAGCATCTCAACCTCCTTTTAATTTGCAAATGAATCCATTCAAAAACGAAATCATATCAAAGACAAAACAGCAGAAAATCCTCATAAAAGAAAAGCTGAAAATTTCAATGATCAATCATCTGCTCAGCTACTGATTGTGTATTTGACGATCGACTAATCACTGACAAATAGTTTCAGCTCTAGTTGTGTTTGTAAGTGACACTGAGCTGCTGTGCTTAATTATTCCAGTTACAGCAAATGTGGAAAACTACTGCTGGATGCCCCCAAAGATCGTTTTGACCAAAATTGCTGCAAAAGTTTGAAACTAGTAAAGTTTTGGCTCAGTAGGACGTGTTTGTTTCATTGTGTTTGACATCTCTGGCTCATGTGGGTAACGCAGCAATAAGCACCCCAACAAAAACAAGAGCCTTCAAAGACTTCTCAGTTGAATCCAGGTCAGTAGTGCAGAGAGAAGCAGGGGAAACGGCCTCCCTCGGTTAACCACCAATACATCAGCCTTCTGTGACTGCACGACAGAGGCCAAAACCGTCTTTAACAGGATGAGATCATGAACTTAGCAGTGGAACAAACCACCTCACCGTTCCTACGAATGTCCGAGGTGCTGCAGACGCTGCTGTGCACATCATTAGATCGACAGCAGAAAAGTCTTTTCATGCTCAGACAGTGACGATGGAGAGATGAAGTCTGCAGAACGGAGGAGTGTGAAAGAAAAATTCCAGAAGCAAAATACCAGAGGCCTGAAGGAGAGAAGGGAAGTGTTTCTGTGCATGAACGTCCTCCTTAAAATTCCCAGGAGGGACGCAGAGAGAGAGAGGGAGAGAGATAACGCTGGATAAACAAGAGAGAGATGCCAGCTGAGAGAAGGAAAGAGGATTGAAGAAGCGAGGAAACAAGGAAAGGTGAAAAGTTCCTTCACTGCTCTGAAAGATGGAACCTGGTGAACTTGTGATGTTCTGTTCAGAATCATTCAAACACACATTGATTCATTTTCCTGACAGTTGTGAGCATGCAGGCACGTACCCAGAGATGCAGTCATGACGTGACACTCTGAGAGGTGTCCTGAAATCAGCCAGCTTCCTGTTTAGCCCCAAATATTCTATTCTTCTTCTTTTTGCTCCAAACTCTTTATCTCTTTCTGTGACGCTCTGCCTCCCAGCGCTACCGGAATCTCCTCCTCTCTCTCCCTCCTGCTCTCTCTCTCCTTCTCTGAGGAATCTGAGTCCGACTCGCTGAAGCTTTTCCTTTTTTCTCTCAGGGGTTTGATATTTTCGCCACCATGTCCGATTCCTTTCGTCCCCCAGATGGAAAAATAAGTTCCCCCATTCGCTCCTGGCTTGTTGTGACACCGCTCGACTTCTGGCTTTGTATGGAGGGAGGGACAGAAAGAAGGAGGGAGGGAGGGAGGGAGCAAGGAGAGGTAGAGAATTTCTCCCCCCCTCCTACTCCCCACCGTGGATGCCTACATACTCTCCCCTCCTCTTCCTCTCACTGACCACTGAGCATTGTTCCTGCGGGGCTGCTGCGAGCACTTTCTCCCAATCAGAGGGGATTCCAGCGGGGTCAGAGGTCACATGTGGCCTTTTATGGACCAAAGAGAGGAGGAGGAGGTGTTTGGTGGTGAGGAGGTGGCTGGCAGTCGGGTTATCTGGGGAGGGGGGTTTCTATGGCCTCTCTGTCAGGGCATGTGTCCACTCCCACCATCTGCTCGCCGCGAACACAGCGACAAAGGCACGCAGACGCACACTGACTGCGTCTAATCTTAGCACATCATAAACTGCACCGTAAAGCTCTCGATTGAATTGTGTTGTGTTTACATTTTTGACGGTGGAGGCATGTGCCGCCTGCCCTCTTTTCAGCCCCGTGTCACAGGAAATGAGCTGGAATGGACGTCGGCTCCGTCCATCTGTGCCGCTCGTTTATCGGTTCAGAGGCCCGGGTCCCCGTTTGGAAAATAACTTTGCAGACGTAAATTAAAACCTTTAAGAGCCTTGGAAAAACTGTTAAAACTTCAAATTATAGGCAAAAACCTGACGACTAACTGTTTCTGCTGACTTCATATTTTTACTTTATAGTACTGATGTTGAGCTTTAGTACAAATTTTCCCAAATCCTCTTTTTATGTTAATAATCTGATTATAATTATATAATGAGCTGTTTCTTTGGACTGATGGTTGCAGCTTTCTGACTGGACTTTCTGAATCAGTTGTTGTTGTCGTTTATTCAAAGTTAATTAATATTGAACGTATCTAAATCGCACAAAATTGTGTGACAAGTGAGACGACGATAAGATCAACAGTTCATATCACATGAAATAACATAAAATCTGTTGACTGCTCTACTTAAATCTTACTTTTATCTTTTATTATCGATCTTCTTTTTATCCTCTTTACTATTTTCATGTGTCTCAGTACTTTGGTTAAAATGTGTCGCTTTAAATACTCTTTACAATTTGACTGACTTTAAATAAACGTGTTTTAGAGGCAAAAATACAGTTTTAACAAACAGGTACAAGTTAGAACATCTGTCATTTACAGATGCAGGTTCGGGTTTTTGTCTGGTTTGTATTGACGACCTGTTCCTGTCTCATGTGGATCACAGATTTAAGTTCAAGCGTTGACCACAGTCCGTTCGGTGAATAAACTATAAAAAAACCTTCTGTTCAACATCAACAGTGACACTTGAAACCTTTTCAAACCATCATCTGTCTCTTCCTCACCACGGGCGACCGATCCCGAAGACCACTCCCCTGTACGTCCCCCTTGACCTCTGAACTCTGACCATCAGACAGTCGAGCGTTTTGTCCGAGCGGACCATCTGCCTTCACTGAACCTCGGCTCACAACCTCATCTGCATTCCTCTGGCTGAAAGCTGCTTCCGCTGACCGAGAGCTTCTGCATTTAATCGCTGTTTATTTTGATTCGGCCGCATGTAAACAGAAGAAATGTTATTACATAACACGACAGGGCTGCGCTTGGTCGTCACGTGGAACTGGGAGTTCTCAAGACGCAGGGTTCATCTCTGGGTTGAGTGAAAGGCTAAAGTATGAAATCTCACTAATCTGTTGATATCACGTGAAAACTTTTTATAATATTCTTGTTTCACTCTTAAGTTGAGGGATGTCACTTGATTTCACTGATTTCTTTGACTTGTAAGGTTCATGGAACATTTGGTTCCAGGAACAAATACAGTACATTTAGATCTGGATCCAGTAAAAGTGGCAGATTCTGTATATTTTTCCACCTTTGATGAAACAGAGACAGTGAAGAAGAGACAGGAAACAGGGTCAGAGTGTCTGGGAATGACAATGGTCTGGGGGTGGGGGGGGGGTGAGCTGAGACCTGCTGCTCTCAGCAAACTTGCGGCTATCACTTTACCCCGTGAAGGAATTTTTATTGAAAGTTATAAATAATGGATCTTGATGAAATACTGAGGGGGCCAACATCTATGAGTGTGTGCAAACTTTGTGATCCTTGCTTGACTTTAAGGAGAGTGTTGTTTTCAGCAGGATTACTTTACAAATCTGTCTGTGTTTGAAGCTCACAAACACCAGCAGTGATGTAACGCCACAATCCCAGCATTCCCAGTGTGATCATCCTGGTGATAACACCGTGGGAACCAGCGCTGCGGGGATTCAGTGTGTCTGACTGAGTTCACCGTCCACAGTAGTGACTGCACACGTTACCGTAGCCTGAGGACAGCTCGTGATTACATTAATGACTCTAAACATAATATGAAAATAATTTTACTGTTCTGTCTGGTCGTGGCAAATTATTTCCCAGACTGTCGTCGGCCTTTTAACGTGGGAAACAGGAAACTGTCGTCTGCCCCCGAAACGGGAGCGTGCAGAAGATATTTTGTGTCCTTTGTTTATTCTTCTGTCCATCCAGCAGAAAGAAAGGACAAATAATAGTCCCTCTTTCATCAGCTCTTTCTCCATCCTGTCTCCTCTGCTCTGACTAACATGTTGACAATAAACACACGGACCTGCCCTTTAAAAACACTGAACTCATCTGTCTGTCATCATAAATATCACTTTAGTTTTGTTATCAATAAATGTTGTGGAGAACCTGAAGGCTGCAGAAAGGAATTAGAGCTGGTTACGACTTTGTATCGATCATTGAATTAAATCAAATGATCATAAATTAAATCCTAATTTGATTAAAAACAAATTTGACTTGACAAACATTCTATAAAACATCCATGTATTAATTTGCATCCACGTGTAATTTCCAGGACTATAATTTTTTTTCATCGTTTCCTTTTTTATCAAACGTTTGAATTGAAGTAATTCAGTATTTCCACTTTCACAGTAAACGGCTTCTGCTGCAGTGAAATGCATTTATTGTGAAGGGCCCACAGGAAGTGGTGCAGTTTCCGCAGCAGCTTTAAAATCAACGTTTCCTCATCAAATACAGAAGCAGAACGTAAGACTGTGTTTTAACTTTAACTCGCTGGAATCTGATGCTTTTAATCAGATCCACTGGTGCTGATGCTGCTCAAACATCCACAGTTACACAAACTTTTTAACATCAAACTTTCACTCTGAGTGATTTTATCAGTGCAGGGACGCTTTCATCACCTCATTAAATTATTAGATTCAATTATTAATATGTCACATCACAGTGCACGGCCTTTGTTTCCTCTCTATGAGAACACAGACCCACCACAGAAAAACGCCAGCCACCGACATCAGATATGAAACTGGAGCGCTGAGAGCCGCTTGTGTTTTTTGACACTACAGTAAATTCCTTCTGCAGCTGTGTGGTGCATATCTCCTCGAGCAGGATGTACCAGCAAAACAAAAGACCCTCCCCTCTCTCCCCCCTCTGTCCCCTCCCAGAACAGGACGTTAGTGGACATCCTGTCCGCAGCGCTCTCTTCCTCTGTTACCGTCAGCTATTATTAGAGGACGTCCAGCATCAGCTGTCCCACACGGGTCCGATACACAAAAGCATTTGTCCTTTTTAAGTCATGGCAATAGAGCAAAGGACAGGTGTGTGTACAGTGTGTGTGTTTTTGGTACAATTATGCCAAGAGGACGTTCCAGAGTTCAAACTTTATGAACACACATATTCATGGTCTCACACACACACACACACACACACACACACACACACACACGGGACATTATTAATATCACA